CTTTGTAACAGGTTTTCCTTCACAGAGAAGCTAGTATTTAAAAAGTATTTAATTTGGTATAATTTCAAACTTAAGGAAAAGTTGTAAGAGTAGTATACTGAGTTTCTATATATACTTTTTTCAGGTTCACCAAATTGCTAACATTTTGCTTCATTACTTTATCTTCCCCTTACTCCTTCCTTCCTTTCCCCTCCTCTTTTTTCTCTCTCAACGAAAACTAACCTACACTTTTCCCTCTCTTCTTTTTTTTTTTTGAGTTGGAGTCTCACTCTGTCGCTCAGACTGGAGTGCAGTTGCACGCTCCCAGCCACTGCAGCCTCGACCTGCTGGGATCCAGCGATCCTTCTGCCTTAGTCTTCCAGGTAGCCGGAACTACAGGCGCGCACTACCACGCCCGGCTAATTTTTGATTTATTGTAGAGACGAGGTCTCGCCAAGTTGCCCAAGTAGGTCTTGAACCTGTGGGCTCAGGCAATCCACTCACCTCCGCCTCCGAAAGTGCTGGGATTACAGACTGAACCACCGAACCCGGCCACCTTTTCCAACCCTCTTCTATGTACACATGCATACATATGTATATATGCATATATGTAAATTACATATATGTGTATTTAATGTCCAGCTTTTAAAAATAAGTTGCAGATACCATGCTCCTTTGTTTCTAAATGTTTCAATGTTGTTTTCCTAGGAACATTACATGCACATGTTCTTGATTTTGTTTGTTTGTTTATTTGTTTTTTAAAGGACGGTCTTGCTACGTAGCTCAGGCTGGTCTCGAACTCCTGGGCTCTAGCAATCCTGGTTCAGCCTGCTGAGTAGGTGGGACTACAGGCTCAAGCCACCATACATGGTAGATAACCAAGAATTTAGCATGGATAAAAGATCATTATCTAATCCACATTCCATATTCACATTTCACTGGTGGTCTCAAATTTTATAACCATTTTTCTACCTGTTTCAGGCTCTGATCAAGAACTCACATTGTATATAGTTGTCTTGTATTTCTAACTCCATCATTCATTTTATATTTATCAATAGCATTTTACTACAAGGAAGAACTTTCTTTATGTATTTATTATACTAGTATATACTCAGTGGTTCTTGTTTTGGTCAATGGTTTATAATTCATTAATATCATTATTTATTTTGATGCCTAACTGTTCCAGATTTAGCCAGTGGAAGCCCCTTCAGCCAGTGATTTATCCTTTTAATGTGTCCCCATCACTTTTGTAGCACTTTCTAATTTTTTTGGCACAACAAAATGTTCCATGTTCATCTTGCCCTTTTGCTACCCCATTCCTATAATCAGTAATTTCTGCAAATAGACTTAGTGTCTGTTACTGGGAAATTATAGTTAGAGACTAGAATCTCTGTGATAGTTTTATTGGAGTATATATTTCTAGACATTCATAACATATAGAACTAGAGAATAACAAACACACACATACATACACAACTATGTTTATATTTATGTATTAAAAATTATGTTTATGTTGATACCCCCAATTTTAATTAAATTCCCAGAGTTAGTTCTAATCTTCCCCCTTTCCACTTTCATAATTCTCTTCTCTAGTAGTGTAAAAATCTGACTCTGATCATGCTCATTATGTTTGCTCATTGGTTTAATTCTTCACTATATGGAAAACAGTTTCAGAATTGTTAATGCATGCCACTGCAGAAAAGGAAACACATGCATTAATTAGATTTCAGTATTTATTTGCAGCTTTTTGTCTTAGACTGAGCATGTATACTAGGTTTCTAGAGCTGTTTTAATTGGTGGCTTAAAACAACAGAAATTTATACTTTCACAATGCTGGAGACCAGAAGTCCAAAATCAAGATGCTAGTGGGATCATGGTTCCTTGGCTGTGGCTGCACAACTCCAATCTCTGCCTTCATCTTTACATAGCCTTCGCTTGTGTCTTTTCCTCTTCAAGGACATTTGCCATTGAATTTAGGGCCTGCTCAGATAACCCATCTAAAGATTCTTAATTATATCTGCAAATACTCTTTTCCTAAATGAGGTCATGTTTACATTATTATGGATTTACATTATTAGGGATTGCAATGTGGATATAACTTTTTAGGGACCGCTAGTCAACCCACTACAGGGATCCTCAGCCCTTGGCCATGAATTGGAACTGGTTCATGGCCTATTAGAACTGGGCCATATAGCAGGAGGTGAGTGGTGGGCAAGCAAGCAAAGCTTCATCTGTTTTTACAGCTGCTCCCCATGACTCGCCTTACTTCCTGAGCTCTCTCTTCTTTCCGATCAGTGTTGGCATTAGATTCTCATAGGAAAGCGAACCTTATTGTGAAATTTTCACGTGAGAAATCTAGGTTGTCTGCTTCTTGTGAGCATTTAATGCCTGATGATCTGAGGTGTAGCTGTCTCCCATCACCCTCAGATGGGACTGCCTGGTTGCAGGAAAACAAGCTCAGGACTCCCACTGATTCTGTATTATAATGAATTGTATAGTTATTTCATTATATATTACGATGTAATGACACTAGAAATAAAGTACACAATACATGTAATGTGCTTGAATCATCCTGAAACCATGCCTTCCTCCTCCATCCATGAAAAAATTGAATTCCACAAAACTGTTCCCCAATGGCAAAAGTCTGGGCACCGCTGCACTACAGGGTATGTTGTTACTTAGGTTGCTACCATCTGTTTGTACTCCTTTCATGAGTATATGTTACTCATCTGAACTAGAGTAAGGTTCATTTTTTTTCTGTTTATATTCAGTTTCAGGTTTCCCCATCCTTATTTATTTGTGAACATTTTAAATGTTAACAGTGTTTCAAAAGTAAAAGAACAAATGAATAAAGAATCACAAACTACCATGACCTTTATTAAGGGAATGGGCAGGTACTATGGTAAAGAACAATGGAATGGGCCATGTCGTACTTAGAGGACCAGAAAATACTTATTTGTGCAAGTGGCATATAAACTGAGATTGCAATGAGAAGGAGCCAGTCAGGAGAAAGTGGAAAAAGGCACTTTCTAGTAGATGGGTAAGCATGTGAGAAGGACCTGTATGGGGATAGAGCTGGCTGTATTGGAGGAACTGATAGGAAGGCAGTGGCTGGTGCATGTTGGGCAGGAGGGAACACAAAATAAGTGAAGTTGTAAGAAAGCAGGAGCCAAAAAATGTAGTTTGTTCTGGACTGTATATAAGATGTAGGAAAGCCAGTAGAGAGTTAGATGGAGAGGAATGGCGTATTTAGAACTGTATTTTTAAAGGTTATATGATTGCTATGTGAAACACACGAGGTAAGAGTGCAATCAGAGACTAGTAACAAACCAGCTAAAGTACGTAATAACAGATGTAGAAGCATGAGATAATGTTGGCTCATACAAGAGTGATAGTGGTGAAAAAGAGGTAAGTGAATAGATTTAAGATGTATTTGGGATAGAATTGTGACAGGACTAGCTGGTGGATTGAATCTGGGTAGATAAAGAAAAGGTTTTGGGATTATGGTTATGGGAGTATTTAAGGATGATACCCAAGTTTTTAGCTTGAACTACTAGGAAAGAAATTCATTGAAAATGAAACAGGCAGGAAAAAATCAAGATTTCCCATTGGACCTATTATGTTTGAGATTCCTGTGATGTGCAAATGGGAATGGCAAGCAGTTAGTTGGCACTGTGGATCTTGAGTTCAGGTGTGGAAAATGAGATCCATGCCTGCCTACTCCACCTCTCCCCATTCATATCTTGTAAACATGAATAGAACGTCAGGCCTTGACCATATACTATTTGAGGTATTGTGGGCATCTTAGGCAGAATAGGATCTCTAGGCCCACATGACTTCCAGAGAAGCATTGCTATTTTTCTTTCGAGTCATTTAAATATTTACATTTGCTTCTTTTAGCGTAGCTTTATTTTGAACTCTGCCAGAGAAGGAGATACTGCTATTATTGAACTAAAAAGCATTAGGCTCTTTTCTGTCCCACTTGAATCTGACTTACTGCATGAGAACAACCTCTCTAGCTGACTTTGCTTGCCTAGAAGGGAGGTATGTATGTGTTTATGTTTGATATGCACTTTATGGTTGATTTGGTGTATATATTTATCAATTTATATGACACTATCACATTGTTTTAATTATAGTGTTTTTATATTGTTTATACTTAGTGGAGCTTATTTTCCTTAATCATTTAAAATATGGTTTTCCATTTCTTACATACTTATTCTTTTTTTATTTTTATTTTTATTTTCATTTTTTTGAGTTGGAGTCTCACTCTGTCGCCCAGGCTGGAGTGTGGTGGCCGCTCCCAGCCACCGCAGCCTTGACCTGCCGGGCTCCGGTGATCTTTCTGCTTCAGCCTTCCAAGTAGTTGGAACTATAGGTGCGTGCTACCACACCCAGTTAATTTTTTTTGATTACATTGTAGAGATGAGGTATCGCCAAGTTGCCCAGGTGGATCTCGAACCTGCGGGCTCAGGCAATCCACTCACCTCAGCCTCCCAAAGGCACGGGATTACAGGCTGAGCCACCGAGCCCGACTCATATTTATTCTTATAGAGTATTGTAGAAATAAGATTATTGACACATTTAGGCGATATGGATTTCTTCCCATCCTACTTCTTGCCTTTGCTTTGCTTACTTATAAATGCTTTCTGTTCTTGTTTTCTTTGAAGAAAAGAGTCATGATCTTTGAAGAAAGACCTGTTTTTCTTCTAACAGTTTTACCTTTTTCTAAAGAGATGTCAATTTCCCTTTTATTTCCTGCCTTATTAAATGCTTTTTTCATGTAAACCCCAAGCTAGTTCCTGAGGTGAATGGGGTGATACACAAGTAAATTAAACAAAGTGAAATAAACAAAGCATGTTATGAGATAAAATTTGGATAAAATAATATCAGTTTGTAATTAAAATGGTGTGTTTTTTTTGGTGGGTTTTTACTTTTATACATGATATGTCAGTTTAAAGTCAGTCTATTTTTAATATTTTTAAAACATCTTTTATTTCCTTTCTCTTTATTTTTTTAAGGGTCACACAGCAATGCTTCATACTGGTTCATGGCATCCCAAAATAAAGGGAGAATTTATGACTTGCTCAAATGATGCGTGAGTATTGTTGATAATTCATCTAATTTATATTTTTAAGTATTTTCTTTAACATTACTTATATTGTAGCAATCTTGGCAGAAAAATAGGAGATTATTATGAATCCTGATGCTTATATATTCTTGTTCTTAATTTTGATTTCAGCTGATAGTGTAAAGTTTGACTTAATAAATATGTACACTATGAAAATGGATTTAATAAATATGGACACTATGAAAATGAGAGTGATATAAATTCCTTTGGAGTTTATCAGGGATACAGTGGATCAGACTGATGCTATTAAATGGGCTCAAATGGCTTTGAAGTTGTGACTAATAATTTATAACTTTTTTATAGTAAGGACTTATTTCTATCTGAGTCTAATGGCTAACATAAACTTATTGGTTAAATGATTAATTTTGAAAGTAATAACTGAGAAAAGTGATTAAATGGTTAAGATTCTTTTGCATTTATATTTGCTAGTCTATGACTCAAGAGTGTTAGAGGGAATATTTGAGCAGCTTTCTCTTGTATTGTTATACGGTATGATTCATTTTATTGTCAAATAGTTCACACAAATGTACTATTCGTGTTATTACAGAAAACATAAATAAGTGTTATTTAAGTGAACCAGTATTTTAGACAAATAACATTTTTGTTTTTAGTTTATTTTGTCTTACATCATTTAACTTTCTAAAATTTAAATTTGCCTCATTAACATCCAAAAATTACTGTTAATAATCTTAGATATTTTATGTTTTATGGAATTCATCTTTAGAATAAGAGACAAAAGACATAGTTTCACTTTCACAGAGGAATTTAAAAAATTGATTTGATCTAAAAGAAATTTGTCAATTTATACAAAAAGTATGTGACTAAAACAGGATAAGTACATTTGATTAACATTTCTGGTAAATCAAATTATATAGTGCTAATTTTTTCTTATCTTTGTTTTATTAGCACCATAATTATCTTTCTAAATACTTAAGCTATGTTTGTTTAAAGTTATGTTTTTTATTTCAGCACTAGGAAATCAAATTTATCAGCAGTCTAAATTAATAATAAACCACGAACAAGTAAAGTTTATTCTAGGAATGCAGGAATATTTACCACCAGGAAATTTCAATATGCTTCATTATTTAACAATTGAAAAGTGAAAATCAGATAGTTTTAATATATGATAAAATAGACATTTGATAAAATTTCATAGTCTTTCCCAGGAAAAGTTCTAAGTAAAATGGAAATACGAAGAAGTTACTTAGGATAAAAATTATTTATTAAAATTTAAAGTAAATATTTCTTTAAATGTTGGAGTACTGAAGCTACTTGCATTTAAATAGGAAACAAAGGCAGAGATGTTCAAACTATTTAGAAATTTTATTCAGCATAGTTTAGAGACTTTATATTGTAAGTAAGATAAAAAATGAATAATTTAATATTATAAAAATAATAAATGGATTATTAAAACACAGAGGATCCAGGCTATTCTGTTTAAAACTTAAGTTGAATAGAGCAGTTGAGAAAACTTTTGTTCTCAAAACTGTTTGTAGATTAGTATGAATGGTGGGCCCTCATAGTTGATAACATAACTTTTATGACCCCAAAGCAACTTTTTCCAAATTGTGTTCTAGGATATGTAAATTAGAAATTTGAATAAAGGCATTCTGTAGTTACATAAATTTGAGAAGCTTTGATGTTATATTCCAAGGCCAGTGATTCACAGTAAACATTTAAAAGGTTTTGAGTATGGTTTAAAGAAACCTGTTTAACTTTGAATAAAGTTTTGCTGGTGTGACATCTTTTACTGGGTATAAAATGTAGTTTTTCTCATTCATGAAAATAAAATTCTTTAGTTCCCTGTGCAAATTATTGACTTAGTGGTATATTGTACCTTTGAAAATGTGCACCAGTTTTTTTCCCCCACACTGTATAAGTTGGGCATTTTTTAGTCATAGCTTTCTGTGGTGATTAGTGAGCATTAATCGTAGACTCCCATTATATAATTATTTACCTACTTTTAGAGAAACTTGCCAGGAATAAATTTAGATAGTTTGCAGTTTGGCCTTTGACTTTGAGGGTTGTAATCAGTTATGGATTAAGCTGTGAAATATCAGCCCAGATACTGTTTTAGCAAATAGAGTATGCTTACTATGTGCCAGGTATATTGTGTGATCTAAATCTCTGCCTTCATGGGGCTTGCTTTCCAGTGGAGGAAGACAAGCAAAGTATATGAGGTCTGACAATTCAGTTTGCAAACTTGCCACTGTGTGCTTGTGGGAGCACTGTACAAACAACTTGGTAAGGTTTTATAACCTTGGTAAGGTTTTATAATCAGTGTCTCACAGCTGTGTTTGTGTCAATGTGTGGCCGTGTCTTGCTGAATGGCATTCATTCTTTTTTTTTTTGTACAACATTGTATTTATAGTTGACTTTCCTGTGTGTACACTTAAAATTCTGTCGATTTCCTGTAGGCATTCATTCTTGTTGCATGTTTTTGTGTGCCTTCATGGGAATGAGATTCAATTAGAGTAAAGAACAAACATTAAATTTTTTGTTAAACTGCACAAGAGTATTCCAAGTTCATGGGGATAATGCCATGAAGAAAACAGCAGTGTACAAATGGATTAAATGTTTTTCCGAGGAGAGAGAAAGCGTCATTGATAAGAGAGGTCAGGATGGCCAGTAACGAGCAGAACTGACAAAAACATTGCAAAAATTTGTTGGGTTGTGCATCAAAATCGTCAGCTGACTGTGAGAAGCATAGCAGACCAAATAAACATTGATAGATAAACAGGAAAATCTTAACTGAAAATCTTGGCATGAGAAAGATGTGTGCAAAATTGTCCCAGAGGAGCTCTTGTATCATGACAGTGCACCAGCTCATACAGCACTGTCTGTGAGGGAGTTTTTAGCCAGGAAACAAACAACTGTATTGGCGCATCTGCCCTACTCACCTGATTTGGCCCCTGATGACTTTTATCTTTACCTGAAGATAAAGGAAATATTGAAAGGAAGACAGTTTGATGACATTCAGGACATAAGGGTAATACAATGGACTGCTCTGATAGCCATTCCAGTAAAAGAATTCCAAAATTGCTTTGATGGATGGACTAGGCACTGGCATTCATGCCTAGTTTCCCAAGGTGAGTCTTCAAAGGTGACCTTACTGATATTCAGCAATGTGGTATGTAGTACTTTTTCTAGGATGAGTTCGTGAACTTAATTGTCAGACCTTGTTACTATAACAATAAATAAATAATATAGTTTTATGTAGTAATAAATGTTAAGAATAAAGTTAAAATAAAGCAAAAATAATAGATAACAGGAAAGAAGGATCTACTGCATGTACAATAGTGAGAGAACGCTTCCTAGAAAAAAAGTGATTTTTTAATTTTTGATTTTTTTTTTTTTTTTTTTGAGTTGGAGTCTCACTCTGTCGCCCAGACTGGAGTGCGGTGGCTGCTCCCGGCCACTGCAGCCTCGACCTGCTGGGCTCCGACGATCATTCCACCTCAGCCTTCCAAGTAGCTGGAACTACAGGCGCATGCTACCACGCCTGGCTGATTTTTTTTATTTATTGTAGAGATGAGGTCTCGCCAAGTTGCCCAGGCAGATCTTGAACCCCCGGGCTCAGGCAATCCATTCACCTCAGCCTCCCAAAGCATGGGATTACAGGCTGAGCCACCAAGCCCAGCTAATTTTTGATTTTTATTTATTCATTTTTTTTTAGTTGAAACTTAAATCATGTGAAGGAAGCAGGAAGCAGTCACAGGAGAAAGAACTTTCCAGATCAAAATGCAGTACACTATTTTTGAGAGAAAGAAAGACCAGTACTTGATATTTTGTAGGTTGGTAGGAATGGGAGAATGATAGGAAATGAGTTTAAAGAGGAAGGCAGGGTCAGTCATATAATGTGTTGTTGGATAAAGTATAAAAGACTAAGATTTTAATGTAATGATGATGGAAGCCATTGAAGAGTACTAAATCTGTACCATAACATCACTGGAAAGTCAAAGACAATAGGAATGGTCTCTTTACAAGGTGTTAATGTTTTTCAGTGAGGTAACATTGGAATAATGTCTAATAATAGTTAATATTTTGAGCACTTAATATGTGCCATTACTGCACAATACACTTTACATGTGCCAAGCACTTATGTTTTCTTCACTGCAGTGGTGTAGGTAGTAATGTTGCCACATTTTCCAAATGAAGAAACTGTGACTTTCCCAAGGAGACGTGATTCAAAGTGGCTGAGCCAGGATGTGAATCTGCTGTGAGTGGTTGTCAAAAAGGTGATGGTGATTGATTTATAGATGTAGGCATAGGATACACGTACCTTTTATATAAGAAATTGATACAAGAACTCACCTTATAAACAGAGCAGATGATATTGAAAATAGCTACCAAATACAAGTAGTTTTGCTACTTCCCTTCTAATCCTAATATAGGATAAAGTATAAAAGACTAAGATTTTAATGTAATGACAATGCAAACCATTGAAGAGTACTAAATCTGTATATTTTAAAATATTTTTTTCTCAAAGTAGGATGGGTTTGGTATATAACTTTATTAAAATAAAGAAATTTCATTCTACATGTTGAGTAATCATTATCTGAAATGTTTGGGACTAGGAGTGTTTTGGATTTTAGACTTTTTCAGATTTTGGCATATTTGCAATACTGGTTGAGTATCCCTAAACCAAAAATCTAAAATTCATAGTGCTCCAGTGAGCATTTCCTTTGAGTTTTATGTTGGCACTCAGAAAGTTTCAGATTTTGCAGCATTTTGGATTTTCAGATTAGGGATACTCTGCCTGTATTTCTAATTTTATTATAGATGTTGAGCATTATCAATTTTTTCATATTATTTGATGTCATCTTGCTTTTTTTCCCTTTTAGTCCATTAATGTGGAGAAGTTTGTTGATGTTAAACCATTCACACATTCCTGTAGTAAACTGTATGTGTTCACCTTTAAAAAAAAACTTACTGCTCTATTTAGGAAACCTGTATTTAGGATTTCA